ATGGTTTTCTGAGGACGCTCACTTTCCCCCTTGTCAGGAAGTGGCTCCAACGGCATAAAAATTCACCATGCAACTACCCATCCCACACAAGTTAAGAATTTAGAGACTAGCCAAGTGTAATACATGTCCCGGTGCTCAATAACTGCGAGCACGGCTATTCGAATAGATTTGGTTTACTCACACTGCAGTGGATGTACACTTTACCCACACTCCGTGACTGCCCAACACATGAGCCTTGTCTCAACACATGAGACGCGTCACGGCAAAGCTTTTCGATAACCTCGCATTGGCAGTACCCGCTCCATGAACTTTTCATCCTCATGCACTCTAGGCGTACACGGTTTCTAGCAGTGAGAGGAGTTCTGGCGCACCCGGGAAGGGAAGTTTTACACCCATGTAATTAAGTTATAACTAGGTTCAACTCAACACACGACAGTCCTAGCAATGGTGACACCATTGTAGAGCCCCTGCCATACACATGAGAAACCACTATGCATGGATACTGTCTCCGCTCGGCTATTTACTCCGATAGGTCTATCCCCATTCGAGAAATGTGGTTGTACGAGGTCGTTTCATGCTTAACTTCATGGCTCGGTCCTTAATTGACCGGGGACGGTACTAGCCTTTCCCAGATACCACCCAAATCCACCGTCCGCCCCGGTCTAAAACATAGGTTTTTAATTCCTTTCATATCATCATTATCATGGCAATGTGGTGCTCATGTCTCCACATGCCGCATCTCAATTACCTTCCCAAAGGTAATTGCCCAAGCATATAATATTTGATAAACATGAGTATGCAAGATTCTAAAGTAGCATTTCTAAGCAAGTGTCATAGTTGACTAGGGACTCATACGTAACCGTGGTTACAAAGATTTAAAAATAAACAATAATCAAGACATGGCATAATCACAAGTAGGATGTTTATCATTGCATGCAATCTTATTTGTAAATAAAAATTAATTTCGCAATTGGGATCAACGTGATCAAAGAATAGTGATACTTGCCTTGCTCTAGGTCTTGTGGGTCTTGGCCTTCACCCGGATCCGCGGCTCCCTCGGTCTCTATAGTTACGTGCGTAAGAACAATTTGAATTCGATTAGAATTCAAACAAAATCCAAATAATGACCGAATTGAAAAACGAGCACGGGAGGTGAATTCTATATAGGCTACTTTATTCGCGAAGTGGAATTATTCTTCACCCTAAGATATCTTGTAATTTATAGTCATGTCCTAAGACTCATCGAATTATTGAGTTCCTAATCACATGTAAATTATTACCGCGAAATTGATTCCCTATGGAGATTACTAAAAATAATCTATAACAATCTATAAGGATTCATCTACTTGTTTAGTTCTTAAATAATTGATTCTATAATCAAATTCCAGTACTTTAGGTATTTAAATAGTAGGAATTCATCTAGCTACATTTTCATTAATCCTATAATTAAATTCTAATATTTTTAAATATTTTAAATCTCCCCCTAATTTTTCCCTTTTTCTTCTCTCTCTCTCCTTCCTTTTCTCTTCTTTTTTTTTTCCTTTTCTCTCTCTTTTCCTTTCGTTTTCTTTTCTCTCTTTTTTTTTCCTTCCTTTTTCTTTTCTCTCTCTTTTCCTTTCTCCTCCCGGCTCCTCCCTTCTTCTCCCTCTCTCGGCTTCTTGCTCTCCCGGCGGCGTCGGCGCTGAACGCAAGGGGGGAGGGCGGCGGCTTACCGACGGCGGCTACGGCGACGGCGGCGTTGGCGACGGTGGCGCAAGCGGCGCGGTGGCTCGAAGCGGCAGCGCGGCGACCTACTGCGGCGGCGCAGCGGCGTGGAGGTGGTGGCGCGGCGACGGCGGCACGTGGGGAAAGGGAAGGGAAAGGGAAAGATGGGGGATGTGTGGGTGGGGAGGCTTGGGGATAGAGGGAGAGGGGCGGCGGCCTCATGGCGTCGACGGGGTGGCGCGGCGCGGGGCTCGGCGCGGTGATGTGACGACGACGCGGCGCGGCAGGGCGCGAGGCGCGAGGCGGCGACGCGACGGGCGTACGGCGCGGCAGGGCGCGGGGCGCGAGGCGGCGATTTGACGGGCGAGCGGCGACGGCGACGGCCGACGGCGACTGCGGGACAGCGACGCGAGGGGCGAGCGGCGCACGGCAGCGCGGGGCTCGAGGCGGCGCGCGGGACGCGAGGCGCGGGCGCACGGTGCAAGGCGGCGACGCTACAGTGGCGCGGCGCGGCAGCGGCGACGCGACAGCGATAGGACAGCGTCGGCTACGGCGTGGCAGCGGCGCGGCAGTGGCGACGAGACGCGACGGCGACGGCTGGCGGCGCGGCAGCGGCGACGCGACGGACAGGCGGCGCGGCGTGGGACGCGACGGCGGCGCGGCGCGTGGAATGGCGATGGCGACGGCGCGGCGCGGCAGTGGGGCGGCACGGGGCTCGGGGCGCGGCACGCGGCGTGGCGTGATGGCGACGGCCGGCAGCGGGGCAGGGCTTGGCTAGGGGTCCTCGTCGAACACGTTGGGTGCAATGAACAGTACTATTTCCGAATTAACTCGATTTTGGCCCATTTATTATTTAGATTTAATTCTTTAATTCCCAGATTTTGCACAAATAAAATATATTCAATATTTGTGTTATTCCAACCAATGGATCCATCCTTGATTAATTTTACCCATATTTTATTTTTATATAATTTTCTTGAATTTATTTAGAGTTAATTCTTATTCCGTCACCTTTAAATTTAATTGATACAAATATGGTTGTAATAATATTTTACTCATTTCTATCCTCACCAACTCTTATTTTAAATTGCACTTTAATTATTTATTTTGTCAATTTTACTTTTTAGGGTTTATTCCTAGCTAATTATCCATTATTCGCGACTTATAAACTCCGAAGTCAAAATCCAATAAAATAATCGAACAAATTCGGCATGATGCAATTTATTTAAAAAGTTTTTTGAAGGCCCATATTTTTGGAGTTTAGATTTTTATTGGTCGAATTTTCAGGGTGTTAGATTAAGTTTCCACTAGATACGTTGCTCAAACCGTGTATTGTGTTGTCAGAATTTTTAGAAAATACCAAAATGCCCCTGCCAACCCAAACTAAAGTTCCCCTTTTCTTCTCCCTCATCCTCTTCCACGCGAATGGCCTCGGCACGCCGCCGTCCCGCTGCCCTCCGGCCACGCGCGTCGTCGTCCAGCCGCCGTCTCGCCGCGCGGGGCGCCGTCGTCCAGCCGCCCTCCCGCTGCGCGGGCATCGCCGGCCACCGCCCTCCCGCCACAAGGGCCGCCGGCCACCGCCATCCCACCGCGCGGGCGTCGCCGGCCACCACCCCTCCCGCCGCGCAGACGGCGCCGACCACCGCGCCCCCGCCGCACGGGCCGCCGGCCACCGCCCCTCCGGCCGCGTGGGCCGTCGTCCGGCCGCCGTCATGCCGTGCGTTGCGCCGTCGTCCAGCCGCCCTCCCGCCACGCGGGCGTCGCCGGCCGCGCGTCCTCCCACCGCGCGCGCCGTCATCCAGCCGCCCTCCCGCCGCGCGGGCGTCGCCGGCCACCGCCCTCCCGCCGCGCGCGCCGTTGTCCCGCTTTCCGGCCGCGCGCGCCGTCGTCCAGCCGCCGTCACACCGCCACCGCCCCTCCAGCCGCGTGGGTGTCGCCGGCCACCGCGCCCCCGCAGCAAGGGCTGCCGGCCACCGCCCCTCCCGTCACGCGGGCGTCGCCGGCCACCGCGCCCCCGCCCCACCGGCCGCCGGCCACCGCCCTTCCCACCGTGCGGGCCGCCGGTCGCCGCTCCTCTTGCCGCGCAGGCATCGCCGGCCATCTCCCTCCTGCTGCCACTCTAGCTGGCACTCTTTCATCTACAAGGGTGTTTTAGACATTTGGAACCACACATAACGTGAAAATGAAAAATGAAGGAAACCTAACGGAAGGGGCATGGAAGGGATCAAAGCAAAATTTCAGGGTACAGAGAGGATTGTGTAAAATTCGAGGGTATAGAAGGGATTAGATGAGTTTTCATGTGTACACAAGGGATTTACTCATTAATTAACGTGAGAATTTAGCCTTTTATGTTGATGTTGGCGCCACCAACCCCACGTACTGCAGCCGTCACTCGACCCCAACGCTGAGGGATGTGCATGGACTATGCATCTTCCTTTATTCAGATTACATAACCCCAAACAGGAACAAGTGCACACTGAAGCTCTCTGTATTGTGCTGCTGAAAGCTTGAAACTGAACCAATTTCCATGCAGATTCCAGTTCTTCAAGCTGCCATTCTCACCTAGTAATATCTTCTACCACATCGCATGGAAAATTGTTGCCAATTTCATATATGTACACTCCCATAAACAACCAAATATGTTTATAGTATACACAATACATGAACCAGTACATCCAAATATGAACTAGTACTGCCCAATTCTCTGTCTTGTAAATACAAGGTCCCAGGGGCTGGCTAGGGCAGCTGGGGACGGTGGGGGCGCCGTCCTAGCTGGTGCCCCCAACGGCAGCGGCAGCACTTGGTGGCGGCGCACGGCGGCGGGGTTGGCGGCGCCCGGCGGCGAGGTGGCGCCCGGCTTGGTGGCGACGCCTGGAGACTGGTGGAGGAAATCGATCGATCCAGAGAACAGAGGAGAGGAAATCGATTCTTTTGATCTGACAATGGGCCCAGGGACAAAACAGTCCACAAAGCTTGAAAAGAATACAAATGGGATTAACAAATGAGAAATACATGAAAAACATAGATAGTGGTACCAAATAGACTAATTAGCAGTCCTAATAATATATTATAGAAGGAATGTGGATTGGGGTGGTAAAAAAGTTGAGGTACGCAAATTAGATGATAAATAGTCTAAATTCTCTATAAAATATGGGTTGCTCAGAGAATGCCAAGATCATTAGTCCATAGAAAACATAGATGGGCATATTTTATTAGGAGTACAAACAAGAAAATAGGAATGCTGATATATATCCCCATGTAGTACATACAGAAACACAGATGTGTGACCCGGAAGGGAAATTTGACAACAAACAAACAGTAACAGATAAGAGTCCAGGGGTACCAAAGTTCAGATGATCACACACCCATAATGATTCAGAGAACAAATTAACATATACATGATACAACACTTTACGGCCGGTGCAAGACGATCATGTATAAAGTATAGATGCGGCAGCAGACCTAGGGATTATTTATTGTAGAAAGGCACGACGGTGTAGATGGTCTGCATAAGAGTGGCGAGAAGCAGTATGATGGCCGCCAAGAGCGAGATGAATACCCATGGATTGCTGAAGTACGTATGCATAAGGGTCGCTCGCCACTTGTTCCACGGCTTCTTGCAGTGCGCGTTTATCTCCCGTAGCACATCACGTATACTGCTGTCTGGGCTCATCACAGCTCCTTTGGTTAGGATCTTGTTTATCAGCTTTGCTACGGCCTCGTCGCTGCCCAGACCGCTCGTGATGATCCCTTTGGACCTCAGCAGTGCCACATCCTTAGCAGTGTCAATGAGATTATCCATAAAGTAGACAAATGCCATGACTTCATTTCCGGCGCCTGGGTGCAGCCGCTCAAATGCCATCAGGTTGAGAAACACGCGCTCGGCATTGTCCCAGAAGAGGACCCGAGGAATACTGAGTACACCTCCTTCAAAGCTGACCCCCCCTACAAATCCCTTTCTATCACTCAACTTGAAATGAATTCCTGCCTCGTGGAGTTCTGCCGCACAAGGCATGACAAAATTTGTGGCCAACCCTCGGCGGTGCCGACGGGCACCACTGGTGCCTTTCTGGAGAGCATGGAGGGGATGGAGGCACAGGGGATTATCATCTTCCACGAGGCACAGAGGATCATTATCAACTAGCACAGTATACGTGACAGCATAGCAAAGACAACAGATCATCAAATTGTTTATCGATTCATCGTCCTGCGCGCGACCATCAATCGTCAAGCAACAAGCAAGCAAGATTATCAAACTTTTCCAATTATTGTGTGTGTATAATATATATATATATATATATATATATATATATATATATATATATATATATATATATATATATATATATGTATGTGTGTGTGTATATATATATATATGTATATGTATATGTATGTGTATATATGTGTGTGTGTGTGTGTGTGTGTGTGTGTGTGTGTGTGTGTGTGTGTATATATATATATATATATATATATATAGTTAAATAGCCTTTTTCTTTTAGATTAATCTATTTTTTATACTAAATTAAGGTCCTTCAAGAATCCTGATCAGCGTTCATAATTAAGCTGCCATGTGGCATGTCTCTGAAATTAGCAAAAAAACCATACAGATTTCGAAAAGGAAGATGAGTATCTAATCATCGCTTTTCATTTAAATTAGTGGAACCAATAATTTTATTCATTAGCTCTATCTTAGATAACAAAATCCCCTACCCCTCCCTCTCCCCTCCATTCCACTCAGGTACACGTATGTATGTACACCTATCCCTCCCCCAACTCTCTCTCTCTCTTCTCCTCTCCATATGGGTGAGCATTTGGCGTGTTCATGAGTTGGGAATTGTAATCAGAATCAGTCTGTGTGACTGATGGATGAACTTAGTGGTCTCAAACAGGAGAGTGCGACATAGGATGTCGGAAAGACATAATAGATTAGCCTTCCGGGAGGAAGCACTTTGTTGTTTATTTATGGACGGCTCGAGGAGCCAAAGTGAGGGGTTGTTGAGAATAGGAAATATGAATGGAAACAAAAACCTGATATGTGGTAATAAGCCGGCGAATGGCGAATGTAAACAAGAGAAGATTTCACAAGTTAAGATGACAAACTAAATCTTGATCTTTCGGCTTGAATTTTTCCAAAGCAATTCTTGGATAGATCAAAAAGAAAGTCTCCTTTAATTTACCAAAACCTTTTACATAACCCACACTCAGTGTTTTTGGGAGAATGTTTTCGATCACAAAGATTTGCGAAATAAACTAAGCCTTTTTTTAAGCTTGCATTTTTCACATTTTCCAGTGTCTTGCAGAGTACAAAAGTATTCACGCTCCGATTGTTGTTGTTTTCCTCCTCGTCTGATTGCACAAAGATTAGGGTTTCATCCCTCGATCCCAAACCATTTGCTATGATTTAGTGTTCTAGCTGCGGCCTCTTTATGTAATTGCTATTTGTTTTTTCTAGAGGTTGTGCACCCATGGATTAACCAATGTGGTAACACATAAAGGTATACTTTATTTCTGTTTCCATTAAGTATTGTAATAATGAATCATCTTTTGTTACCGTCGATACCAGGGTTTGCATTCTAGGATTGATATTGGTATCACGATTCCGCTGTTGTCTCCTGTGACACTACCTCTCTAGTGGCGTCCCTACATCAGTATTAGAGCGGGGTGTGACATGGCAAGATATACAATTTTGTTGTTGATGTAATTTTCATTTCAAATAATTTTGAGTGCCAAACAAGTATTACATGTTTTGGAAGAGGTGAAATAAAAAATAGCAACTTCAGCCTATACAACATTTCGCTGGTGGTGATGTGGTAAGAGGACAACGTGTAGACAGATACTAAGTTTAAAACCTATATACCACACGCACAAATATTTTGCAAAAAAGATCGATTGTTTATTCCACTGGCGTTTAGTGATAGGAGGACCCTCCTGCCCTCCTGTACCTATGAATATAAATTTAGCTGCATGTAGAAATAGTTTTTTAGTAGCGCAATCTCTATGTGATTTTTGTTTTATATTTTTTAATAAAAACTTTTGATTCTGATCAGCTAAGCTATGGTTAATTGATAAAAAAACCGAGTGGATCAACAAAAATAATATATAGGTAAAAAAATTATATATGTATTATTAGTATGACGAAAGCCAAGGTTAACATAGTAAAAAAACAATTCAAAAAATTAAATTTTGGTTATATGACTAATCCCATATATCTATAAAGTTTATATCCACTAAGTATAGTTAATATTAATTATCTTTTCTCTCATAAAGCCACATCACCTTAATTTTTTTAGACTTCAATTGCATCTCTTCTCCCCAAAAGCCACATTATACAACTCAATCATTTATAAATTTTGGATAATTGATCAAGGTACAAAATATATAACCACATGAAAGAAAATCATATAATAAGTAAGAAAGAAAATTTCACAAGTCATATATACTATCTTATCATGTAATTTTCCCGAAGCAATGCGTGGGGTACCCATCTAGTAAACCCATAGAGAAATCTGGCCATCCCATAAGTCACTTGAAGTTTGACATTTCATTATATAAGTCATTTTGTTGCAGATGTCTACCCACCAACTCAATTTTATTGCAAAAACCACCTTAGTGCGCACGTATTTAACCGAATCAACATATTTTAGCCGTCAATAATGGTCTTTACCAAAAATTAAATACTTTTAGAATATAGTATTACACTTTTTTTTTTGGAAATTCCACACATACAAATGTTGATCAGAGCTTAAATATTGTCACACTAATTACACTATATCCAAAAAAGTTAAATGAAACATGAATAATAAATCTAATGCAAGTACTTGGACAAGATCGATTCGGCTAGCTTAGCCTATGGTAGCTTTATATCAGTGATAACAAGTCGATTCAATTAAGCAAGTGCGCTCTGGGGTGTTTTTTACAACAAGAGTAGGGGATGGCTATTTGCAACAAAATGACTTATGGGGTGGAATGTTAAACTTTTGACTTATGGAGTACTTTTTACAATTTTCCCATACCAATAAGTAGACAAGGAGAGAGTCTTTAATTATATTGTATATTTTGGTTGATCTATTTTCTAATACTGTGTTTGATATGGTTGTAATTTAGGCCATTTGTTACTAATCAAGAGTATTAAAAACTTTGCTGGTTTTGACTTAGAAAAGATGTCGAATGAAATAAAAAATGCGTGAACGAAAATTACTCGAGCTCATGAATACGTACCAAACATTCGTGGCCATATGCAACATTGATAAGTCTGCGGAGAAGGATAAGGGGTAGCTGGTTCTCCATCAAGACCACGTCGGATTTGATACCGGAAAACAAGTATAAACAGCCATGCTTGCTAAAGACACTACTAGAAAAAACATTTTTCTCAACGTTGGGGTCTTATTTTCGTAGTCGGACATGACTTTTGAAGCCAAATGACCACCTACAAAAATATAAATTGGGGTGATGTTCGCTGTCCGCCTGCGAAAATAAGCGGCGCCTGCGAAAATTATTTTCGCAGGCGCACCTTATATGGTCCGCCTGCGAAAATGAGGAGCAATATAAATAGACCAGGCTAGAGCGGATTTTTTCTAAGTCTCATTCTCTCCCGCAGGCGGACCACTTAAGCGGCGCCTGCGAAAATTATTTTCACAGGCGCACCTTATATGATCCGCCTGCGAAAATGAGGAGCAATATAAATAGACCAGGCTAGAGCGGATTTTTTCCAAGTCTCATTCTCTCCCTCACTTATCCTCTCCCTTACCTCTCTCTCCCTCAGATTCCTCACGGCGATGAGCGCGGGGGCGGCGGGATCCGCGCGCGACGGCGAGGCGCGGAGTCGGCGGCGGCACGGGCGAGGTCGGCAGCGGCAACGGCGAGGCGCGGGGTCGGCAGCGGCAACGCCGAGGCGCGGGGTCGGCGGCGGCACCAGCGAGGTCGGCGGCGGCAACGACGGCGGTGACGACCGGGTTGGTGGCGGCAACGCTCGGGGCTGGCTCGGCTCCCTCCCCTTCCTCCCAGATCCGGCCGGAGGGAGGCCGGGGGAGGCGGCGACGGCTGCAGCGACGTGGTTCCCCGGCCTCCCCTCCCAGATCCGGCCGGAGGGAGGCCGGGGGAGAGGGCAGCGACGGCGCGCGCGGACGCGGCGGCGGCGGCGCGCACGGACGCGGTGGCGACCCGGTGCGGCGGCGGCGGCTCCCCGGCCTCCCCTCCCAGATCCAGCCTGAGGGAGGCCGGGGGAGGGCAGCGGCGACGACGGCGACGTGGGCGGCTCCCCTCCGGCGGCGGCGGCGGCTCCCCGGCCTCCCCTCCCAGATCCGGCCGGAGGGAGGCCGGGGGAGGGCGGCGGCGGCGGCTCCCGGTGCTGTGGCGGCGGCGAGGCAATTTTTTTTGTTTTTTTATTGGATTTTCGCAGGCGGGCCATTTGCCGGCTTGCGAAGATGGATGATTTTCACCGTCGTTTGTGTGCAGGCGGTCCTCCCCTCCGCCTACAAAAATTGCTTTTGGCCGCCTGCAAAAATTCTTTTTCTAAGTAGTGAGACAGGGTCATCGGGTTCATAGTCTTCGACTTTCCCACGTAGCTCAAACACCCTCGCCATCTCAAGCAAGAAGCAGCCATCCTTGAGCATCATCTCTACGAAGAGTGTATCTTGGTACCATATGTCTTCTAAATTTTCGTACGCCTCTTGAAGCTGCACCTTTATCTCCTCAACGGCAACGATGAACTCCTGTAGAGGCTTCCCACTCCGCTTGACTAAGTGTGCCACTGCACGCCACTTGTGCTTCTCCATCTGCAGCAGGGCAGGATCACCGTGGTGGAAAGGTCCCAGCGATACTACCTGTGGCCTGTAGGCGTTGGGGTTTGTCATGTTCTTGATGTACTCCGGCACCCGGTAGATGGAGTGATGTGACTTTGATCCTCGCGCCATCGCTTCAGATGTGACGCCGCCGGCGTCACCGCTGATGTACCTCTCGATCTCTACCACCCAGCTAGAGTTCATGGCAGAACTCTCCATTTGATTGGGCTGTTTATTGTTCATGGAACCCGGACTCAACTCAACAGGCCGTCGCCAGGCCTCTCTATGTACTGTGACTGTGTGACAGTGTGTGTGCAGCAGCAGCTTATTAGCTACTAGCATTAGCATGTACCACCTACCAGTCCTTGACCCAGATCGACAGTCGTCGCGGTCCAACAGTAATCTCTCATGGCAACTAGCCTTACAATTTCAGAAATACATATTGTTAAGTGCTAAGGGCCAACGTGCCCTCCCAAGTGGTGACGTACGGCAACAGAGACCGGTTAACAAGTTACAAAAGGAAAACCACACGCCTGCAGCGCACGCTACCACACGCCAGATCTGGTGTTGCCCGTTTCCATTAAACAACGGTTGATGTGGTTTGCGTTTCAAGACAAACGTCCAGAGTCCTTTGTTTGACGATGCTTGGTGAATATATTGGAAACGGACGTGGGAGATGGCATGAGCCGACGGCCATGGCGGTGGCTGCAACGATGACTTCAATCGAGGTGGTAGGAGGCCAAACTGCGGCAATCGTCGAGGTGATGTGGCGTCGGCGCTCGCGGGCATCAGTCGTCAAAACTGCGGCGGCAAGTGTCGCCGCCTTCCGCCATGGAGCTGACGAGAACGGCCGGTTGTCCGCTCAGCTTGAGGAAGAGCCGAACCAACCCTGCAGGCTTCGTAGCACAAAAAACCTGAAACCTCCAGGCTTTAATCGGGGAATGGAAGGCTTGATCGTTTCGTGATTGAACTACCATCCAGCTTCCTGCGAGGAATACTACCAGACTCGAGGCTGCCACTTGCACAGTACGAAATTAATTATCTTTCAGGTTTGTGCTTAATTGTCATTTGGCTTCTTCCTAATGCCATCCCTCATCAATTTGACAGGGAGAGTCCAAGGACCAAATATGACAGGATTACACATGCATCAACGCGAAGTTCTATTGATAGAGCAGGAAAAAATTACAAGATTACAACCCTGGAGGGTCGTAACCAAGAAAAGGAAAAAAATACCACCACCCGCACACCGACAGCGCCAACACACAACTCGGGAGAAGGCTAGCACCGGACCGGCCGCCGCTAGACCAACAAAGGAACACAGACAAGATCGCCCTCTAAGGGATGGCAAAAACGGCGTCTTCAAGAAGAGAAGCGACGGAAAAAAAACCGCCGCCGCCGTCCGTCGGGGCTCAAAGGAGCTGAGACTAGGCTTTCGCCCGGCAACCGCCCTTGAGGGGTGAGGCAGCACGACAACGCCCTCAGGAGGGGGAATGAACCATCGTTGTCGGCCCGGCCAAGGCCGGACTAGGTTTTCACCCGCCGCTCACCACCTGTGAATCCTTGGCTGACGCACCGATGCTCCACCACCTCTCCAGCTTTGCCGACATGCGGGACCCCTGCACCGGCGTCCTCCGCCGGCCAGTCTTCATACGCCGAAGACCGCGCCACACCCACCGGCAGCTCCTCCTCGCACCGAGGTCGCCTCCTCCACCGCCGGCCGCGCCTCTCGCGCCAAGCCGGCCTCCTCCACCGAACGCGCCTCTCGCGCCAATCCGGCCTCCCTCCCTCGGCCGTGCCTCTCGCGCCAAGCCGGCCTCTATCTCCGCCGCTCGCGCCGAGCCAGCCTCCGCTGTCATCGGCTGCGCCACTCTGCGCCAAGCCGGTCTCCGACCCCTCCTCCAAACGATGCCGCGCCGGCCCGATGTAGCCGTCTGCCACGTACTCAACTAGCCGTCCGAGGCCGCCATGCCTCCGGCGACCATGGTCACCGCCACCGCAGCCACTGCTGCCGAACGCACCACCGTGCCTCCTCCTACCGTGCCACAGCAGTCACTGACGCCGCCGCTGTGACGAGCTCCGAGGCCTCTGCCTCTGCACCGACGGGTGTTGCCGCTGCTGCCTCAGGCCGCAGCCGCGGCTGCCACTGGCACCGCCGCCGTTGCCCATCACCAGCCGCGCCGCCGGTCGCCGCCGTCCGCGAGCCTCGCGCCGCCGTGCAGCCGCCTTCGCTTGGCCCGCTGCCACGAGGGCCGGCGGCGCTGCAGCCGTCGCTCGCCCCCGGCGGCGCGAGCACCGCCGCCCGCGAGCATCTCGTCGTCACGGCGGCCGCCGCCGGCTGCCGTGCGAGTTGTCGCCGTCACGTCGCCGCGCCGTCGCCGTCGCCTCGTCGCGCCGGCGTCGCCGCCCTTGACGCGTCGCCGCGCCGCGGCCTCCTTCGCCACCAGCTCCCACTCCGGCCGGATCCGGCCAGGGGATGGCCAGATCCGGCGAAGGTGATGCCGAATCCGCCGTCTCCTCGCCGGGATCGGCCGCCGCCTTCGCCGTTCGCCGCCTCTCCCGCGCTGAGAGGGGTCGCCGGCCCGCCGCCATGAAGGAGGCCACGCCGCCACCATCATGGCTCGCCCGCCGGCTTTCTGGCGGCGAGCTCCGGCGGCGGCGAGGTGGGGGAGGGGGAAGAGGAAAGGCGGCGGCGCCGCTAGGGTTTCGCCCCCCGTGTCGCCAGCGCGTGGGTGACGCCGGGGGGGGGAGTCTAAGAAGTCGATTACTATGGCACTTAAATTGGCCGCTACGATATATATTACTTCACTTTTGTTTGGTTTATGTCACCAAAATCGCTCGCTCTCGTCTCGCTCACTAAATCCGAAAGAAAATGAACTCTGAAAAATTTCGGAATTTGAACAGTAGCTGAAGAACAGAGTTTCAGCATAGCAGAGAACAAGAGAGATTGTTTTGGCGCGGCGTAGCCTTACAGCTTTTCTCTCTCCTTTTATTCTTCCTCAAAACGAGGTTGTGACATGCAGTGTGGCCGTCTAAAATGCAGCATCTACAACAGCCGTGCCATCCCACGACCTGGTACCTTGCCGGGCACTGAAAACTGAATTCAGTAAGCCGTTACATGCATACAGAGTCCAAGAAAAGAAATTAAACGTGCAGTGCAGCTACTTGTGCAACTAGCAAAGTAAAATGCAAAGCAAAAAATGTTCTGTCACACAAAGATTATCACCTACTAGTCTGTCAGTTTAGACAGGTGGAAGGTGGTATTCAACCATAGTGTAGGTAGAACGCAGGAGGGTGGCAACAAGGAGGATGAAGGCAACGAGACTAGGGAGACGAACACATTTAAGTGCAGACTAATGATTTTCCGTGCTCAACTTTGATCGTCTAGGAGGAGAAATAAATTTCATCATAGTTGCAAAAATCACCCCTTAAGTCACATGAAGTTTGCCATTTCATCATAGTTGCAAATTATCTCCTCACTTTACTCTCTCTTTGGCTCTTCTCCTGCAGGCTGGTGCCCGCGAAGGTTATACTGGCGGTCCTGAAGGTGGCAGCTATGAATGATAGAGAGAGAACCACCATCCTCGTCGAATTTGGGTTCTTCCTCACCTTCGCCGACCCTCCATGCACCTCCCTCCTTGCTGTGCACCGTGCTCACTGGTTGGGTCATCTTCGTCATCCCCTGGTGGCTCAGGCGTAATGCTCGTCTCGTCGTGATGGCAAGAATCCACGGAGGCCCCTACAACCCACCGCCTATAATTTTTTCAATTCTACAATTACAGTTTTTCAGAATATGAACGAAAATTGGGAACTTTTCATTCGAAGAAAAGTTGAAGCTGCTAGAAGAAAATCTGGTAGAAAGCATCACACTGGTGGCCTTTAGAAGTACAGTTTTTATCACCATGGGTATTTTACCGGTGGGCGTGGGCTAGAAATTCCGAAAAATTAGGAAAAAAAATGAAATTTGATCAATTCTTAATTGAAGCTGACAAATTCTCCGAAACTAAAAAAAATCAGCCAAAAGAACATGTAGTCTACTTTTCGAACCGAAATAGTATAAACACTAGATAATGTAGACATACAGTTCGGAGGGAAATTAAAACTGGAAACAATTAATGAGCTAAAATTTCAGAAAAGGAAGTTAACACATATGCATATACATATCATTTTGCAATGTGTCCACGATGCAACACCGGCACTAGCTATTACTTATTCTGGTAGAAGGGCACAACAGTGTACGCGGTCTGCAAGAGGGTGGCGACCAGCAGGATGATCGCCGCAACGAGCGAGATGAACACCCACGGGTTGCTGAAGTAGGTGTGTATGAGGCTAGCCCTCCACTTGTTCCACGTCCTGTCGCGGTGCGCGTTGGCGTCCTGCAGCACGTCCCGGAGGCTGCTGTCCCTGCTCATCACCGCCCCTCTGGTCAGGACCATGTTTATCAGGTTCACCACGGCCTCGTCGCTGCCCAGCCCGCTCTTGATGATCCCTTTGGACTTGAGCAGCGCCACGTCCTCGGCGGTGTCGACGAGGTTGTCCATGAGATACACGAACTCCGTCACGTCGTTCCGGCGCCCGGGTGGAGCCGCTCGAATGCCATCAGGTTGAGGAACACGCGCTCGGCGTTGTCGTACAGGGTCATCCGCGGGATGCTTAGTACGCCGCGTCCAAACCTGACCGCCTCTACGAATCCGTTAGGAGCGGGACTCAACTTGAAGTAGATTCCTGCCTCGTGGAGATCCGAGGCACAGGGCATGACAGAGTACTCCTTGGCCGACTCCCGGCACTGCCGACGATTACCACCCACGCTTCTCTGAACAACATCCAGAGGGTGGATCCCCTCGTTCCCCTGGAGGGGGTCCTTGACTTCCGCGACTAACGGGCCGAAAAATTCTAGCACGCGCTTGCTTATCAGTCCATCTTCCTGTGACATGACGAGAGCATTAGTAAAATTTCAAAATTTGTATATCTATCTTGATTTATATTCATGAAATCATGAAAATGTCATTACGTACGTCAGAGTACGCAGCTAGGTAATATAGATTTGGACATCGAAAATACTGCTACCCACATGAATCTATCTACTAACTAGCTCGCTAGTAGCTAGATTCAACATGTACTGCTCCGCACAGGGGTTAGTGCCTGTGCAAAACACGTTTGTTTAAGTAACATGTGATAAAATATGTCAACTTAGTATCGCCAGTTGTAATTAATTAAGTCATTGCCGTTTCTTTGTTTAATGGAAAGGGGATTAGCTTGTCTTTCTTTTTGTTGTATTTAATCCACTTGTCAATTTCAAAGCTCTTTAATTTGTGTATTAATTGAACTATCCCACGGCTAGCAAAGTGTGATATAATCTACTCCCTCCGTTCCATATTATAAATCATTTTGGCTTTTTTCCTAGTTAAACTAAGTTTAAAAATTTTCAAACAAAACAAATTATTATCAAATATATTCAATGTTAGATTTAATAAAACTAATTTAGTGTTTTAGATATTGCTAATTTTATCCAGGTGTGTCATCTAGGTCCCTGACATGTCATGGATGTCATATAGGTCAAAACAGGCTCCAACCGGCTTCATGAGCAGACATGTCATGCAACGGTGGTGCTTACGCATTAGTGTGATACAGGCACGTAGAAACAATAAAATTTAAAAAGAGAGGAGATAATTTTTTAAAAAAATAAGAAAAACAAGAGGAAAAAAATATGTTCTTAATTTTTTTTATATATGACTGACATATACTAGGTTCCACTAATACGAGTAGGTGCCACCATTCATGACATATCACATCAGTACACGGAGCAGGTTTTGGAGCCTGTTTGGATCTATATGATACCCACGACAAATTTAGGAAAAAAAATGCATTTTGAGAGTTCAAGTAACTAGACGACATATATATACTCGCACAAGTTTAGGGGCCATCCGTGCACTTTACTCTTTTGTGTATAATTTTTGTCAAACCTAACAAAGTTTAAATAGGAAAAGAAAAGTCAAAACAACCTATAATATGAAACGGAGGAAGTAGTTTTAGAAATGATTGTTTTCTGGCTCTAGTTCAGGGATAGTACTCGATCTCAATCCTAAATTCCTAATTGAATACCCCAAAGAAAATATATATGGAGAGAAATATGTAGTGCTGGTTCTTCGACTGGGATTATATTGAGTGTACCTGAATTAGTTTTTCAGGATCCATAACATGCCAGAGCGTCTGGAGGAGGAGCAGGGGCACCTGATTCTCCAGTGTGAGC